AATAATAATAATATTATTAATAATAATAATATTATTATTATTATTATTATTATTGTTTTATTTAAATTATCAATATTATTATTTTTATCATTATCATTGTTATTTATTATTATTATTAGTAGTAGTAGTATTGTTGTTGTTGTTGTTTTTGTTAATATTGTATTATTTTTATTATCATTATTATTATTTTTATTATTATTATTATCATTATTTTAATTATTATTATTATTAATATTATCAATTTCATACTGTTATATTATTATTATTATTATTATTATTATTATTAATATTATTGTTGTTGTTGTTATTATTTTATTATTTTATTGTTATTATTATTATTGTTATTATTGTTATTATTTTATTATTATTATTATTATTATTATTATTATTATTATTATATAAGCTCAGCACATGGGCGCTAATGCACTTAAAAGTATAAAAACTAAAATATTGATATCTCTTATACCAGCTCTGTATGTTCTAAAATCGATTATCTTATCAAAATATCGATAGTTCAGTAATTTGGAGCACATATGTAGTTTATTGGAAATAGAAATACAGTGGAAAGTGACCACAATTACCCTTATTTATCTGAATAATGCCAACTTAGTCGGAACTACTTATTCTTCCACATGCCAAGTCATGTGCGTAATATGGCACTGTACAACTGCAGAGCACGCAAGCTAGCCACTCATTCCGCTGGCACACCGGTGCTGTTAGGGTGAGACAGACATCACTTTCAGAGTTCTTAGGTGCAGCAGGTACAGAGGGAGAAAATGTGGTGATGTGACTGTATTTTGGGGCTTGGGTTTTTGTGACAATGACAAAACAACGGAAAAAGGTTTAAAATTTCCAAGGGGACCAGTCCTGACTTTTTGTCATTTAAATATTTCACAGTGTATACTCTCAAAATCATTCCACCTAAGTCCGCAGACATTTTTTACAAAGTTCTGCGCAGAAATAGCAAAAGATATCCGCAGATTCTGTCTGGTTCTGGTAATCGGCATGAGTGCTCATTCTCCAAATTTCACTTTCTTTTCTAGTGTTCTTCAGCTCATTTGAGGTCAGCGTATGAGCTGCTTTTCCAGTAATGAAACATGTACATGCTCCAGATTCTCATTTCCTCTCAGTGAAATGCCAAATAGCTCTGTCCCTTTCAGCGTCTCAGTCCTTGAAATAAATTGACCTGGCTGAATCAACAAAACAAGGTGTCTTGCTTGGTTTGAAACAAAGTTCGCGGCTCAACCCTCTTCTCTGACAGCTTTAGAAAGCAGAATAACAATCATGGATGGGAAATAGCAGCAGCTCTGAGCTTACTTTTGCAATCTGAATTTGTAAATGAAACTTAAAGGGATAGTTTACTCACACTCCAGTGGTTCTAAGCTTTTTTTTTTTTTTACAGCATAACATTTTCATAGGTTAAATAATAAGCATATAAATGCACTTCAGTTCAGATTAAACATTTTGATTGATTGACAGTCTTAAAAATAAGCATTGTATTTGAATGGCTACCCTTGCAGATACTTTAATCAGTCAGAATACTTAATAGACAATTCCACAGACACAATTTATTTTCCCTCCATGAGATATTTTCAGAGCTCTACCAGAGATGTACGCCCTTAACTTATTGCTGTTACAGGCAGATGTGTGCTGTAATCCTGCCTTGCCCAATGTCACTCGCCAGATAATAGACATGTCTTAAAATACATTGCTTTCCCTTTCAACTCTGCATTCTCACAAAGGCCCAGAGGGCTGCATTTATGCATGTCGCAAGAATGTTTAGGGATTTTTTTGTGCTACTGAAAAGAGCGTCTGCGGACTTATTTTGGACAGGCGTATGAGTTATCAACAGGGATAAACACTGTCATTAAATGTGGACTGAGCTGCAAGGCTATAATTATGAGTTAAGGTCTTTGATAGGATATAATCAGCGATTTTCTAGTACAAAGCAGTGGTCCTGGGTTTTGTTGTCTTAGATGGCAACCAAGTATGTTGTGCTCTTTAAAAACATTAAACAAAGGTATTAAATAAAGGTAAAAAATAAACAGAATAAAAATTAATAATAACCGAGAACACATACCAGTTACGACAGAGGAAATGTGTTTCAACATATGTTATATGTAGCTTATGTAAGGGGACTTGTATTTTGAATAATCCCACTTAAGCAGTGACTGTTGTGCCATTATAAACCTACCACGTTCAAGATTTGGTTTCTTTCAAGTCAGTGATCTTCACTGCCTGATTGAGGTTTGATATAAAGGGCTCTATTTTAACGATCTAGGCGCAAAGTCTAAAGTGCATGGCATGTGTTAAAGTGCATTAAGGCCATGTCTGAATTCACTTTAGCTACTTTAAGGGCAGAAAAAAATACGCTTTGCGCCACGGTGCATGGTCTAACAGGGTTGTACTTATTAACTTAAAGAGTTTTGGGTGTTTTTTGAGCATAACCTGTATTAAACCAATCAAAGTCTCATCTCCCATTCCCTATAAGAGTCAGTTGCGTAGCACTACAGCATATTTGCTATTTACATGGCAGACTTTGTAAGTGAAAAAACTGAACACTTCACTAGCAAGAAAACAGTTAAAGAGAGCATCTGCAGCACAAGGATAAAGAACGAGCCTCCTCCATTCAGCCTCTTTACTTTCTCTTTACTTTACTTCTACTCTTTACACCTTTTCTTTTGTGGAGTGAGGAAACGGTGGAAACTCACTACACTGAAGACATTCATTAGCACACATATTTAATTACATTTGTTAAGCACAAAGATATATTTATTTCAAGAGTTCCCACTTAGATATGCCTGGCATTTATAGCAGGTTTGGCATGCTGTCCTGGGAGAGAACCCTGAGCTCAGAGATATTTGAGCCCAGTGCTCCCACCCAGTCTAGAAGCATATCAGAGGATCCGAGATTAGGTAGGTCTCAATCGCTCCCCCTTTAGAAGGGGAGAAAAAGGAGGAGATGGGATGGAAGGGGGGGATTCTTCCAAAAAGAAGATATGGAAAAAGCAATACGGAGCAATACGGAGAAAGTGATCCATTTATATTAAGCTAAGATCATTCTGATTGGATTATTACTGCAATATATATATATATATATATATATATATATATATATATATATATATATATATATATATATATATATATATATATATATATATATATACAT